TCGACGGCTGTAACTCCTCCCCAGGTAAACCTGCGCCGCTAGTCCCTTCTTGCCACGTCAAAAGCAGTCCCACGAATCAATTAAACTATCATCCAGGACGCACATGCTATCATTCATGTCTGCACCACGTTGCGCCGTAAGGTTGCATCTGACCTTCACCGATCGCGCGAAGCCTGAAGAGTGGAGCAAAAGGGAAACACTGACCACGAAAACCGGGTCTTTTTAACCCAGGGCACCGCGGCGCGGAGGGCGCGAAGCGTGGGCGGAGAGAGGTACAAAGGGCGAGGACGGGGCCTCGCGGGGCCGCCCTCGCCGCCCTCGCGGATGGCGCGCCAGTTTGTTATATACTCTCGTGTACAGGCGCAGATAAAACCGTGGTAATTAGTTTTTTTGTGCTCGTATACGCGCAGAGGCGTAGCATGGGCCCGCGGAGGGGGAGCGAGGGGAAGTGGCAGGGGGCCGTCTAAATCCGACCCCGACGCCGTCGGCGAATTATATCCGCGGAAAAGGCGGGTGTGCGCGAGGGGAGGGGGTCGGAATAACCAAATGCGGGGACGGGCTTCCGGTGCTCAGGGCGGGGTTAGGAGGGGGGGCGGCGATAATGGCGAAAGGCGGAGGAGCGGGGAACGCGAACCAAGGACGGTGGCGCGGAGAGCAACGGTGTTGTGGGGACGGACAAAGACTGTAGAGACGGCGATGGCTATGGAGGTAGACATGCCGACACACTGAGAGGGGAAAGCGATAACTTGGAGAATTGAGGTGGAAAGGATTCAAGAAGTTGCAGTGAAACAGTTGAAACAACTGCAAGGGGGTGGCAGGATGAGATGAAACGGGTTATGGGGGGGGGGTGAGGTGTGGTGTGCGGGGCGGAGTGAGAATAGATGCGCGTTGAGCGAGTGTGGAGGGGACAGCGGCGCATTCGGAAAGTCGACCCATTTTCCGAGGGCGTTGGTGGGGCTTCTAAATCAAATATTCACATTGTGCCGAGTAGCGGAGAGATTTACACACGGCGGCGAGCGCTCTAGAACTACAATAGACGCTCGCTTCACACGCCGGCCCCTTCCTCGCCAACGGCTTCCGCGAACGCTCAAGTTGTTCGAGAGATCTAATGTCGGAGTGAGGATGGGTAGGTACGCGATAATGCGTGGATTTCATACAGAGTTCATGCTATTCCCTTTAATAACATTAACATAATATAGCGAAACGAATGTTTCACCTTTAAACTAAAGTTTAATAATTCGTATTTAATTAAACATTTTACTAACACCAACATTCATTTTAGAGAAAATGATATCACTGCAAATTCAAGCAGCTTTTAATGTGTAGTACATAATTATTATTACTATTTTTTCTAAGCGCAAGGCTAGTGAAAAGCAACGTTTGTACGTGACGCAGTATATCAAAAGGTTCGTTGAGAAATTGGTTATTTCAAATCTATTTTCATGAGATATGAGATAGGCGGCTGGTCACCTTTTCTGTGAAATTTATAGTACCTCCTACAATCAACAATTCTCTATTACAAATATGATTTCTATAGATAGGTTATTTTCAAGAAACCATAATTATATTAATTTGTCTAATTCATGGGCCCATTTAATTGCTATTTGAAAATAGGGAACAGCGTCTATAATCTCACTAAAATTGCTGGCTTTATATCAAAATCGAATCTAAATTTTCCTCATTTCCAAACCAGTTACAGTAAGTCAATACCCAGAGTCAGCATGCAATTATGCGTAAATGAAGACAACGAACAGGGACTTTGAAGCTTGCCATACTTTTTAAAGATACCATTAAGTTACTTAAAAACAACGACATTTCTAAGGTAAACTTTAAAAATTAATATGTATTTTAAAACTGTTTCTGTTTCTAATAACAAAAGTACGGTTTGTAACTTTACTATATTCGAAAAATAAGCAGATATGCAAGACAAATAGTACACTGCTGTTTTTTCAGAGTAAAAAACGTGAAATTTACTTTACACCTCGTTCATTTTAATTAACTTTTTTTTTTCATATTCCATCCACGAAAGCCAACTTTAGGTGCACATCTTTGTCAGGGTCGGACCAAACGTTTCATTTTACGGGTGTACCCGCATGTACCACTCTGCCGTAAACCCAAATCAAAACTTCTCAGACACATTCAGAACCGTTGCGCCGTAAGCTTGCGTCTGATTCCACCGATGCGCGAAGCTGAAGAGTGGAGCAGAAGGGAAACACTGACACGAACCGGGTCTTGAACCCAGGGCACGCGGCGCGGAGGGCGCGAAGCGTGGGCGGAGAGAGGTACAAAGGGCGAGGACCGGCGCTCGCGGGGCCGCCCTCGCCGCCTCGCGGAATGGCGCGCCAGTTTGTTATTTTCGTGTAAGGGCCAGATAAAACCGTGTAATTAGTTTTTTGTCTCGACGCCAGAGCGTAGCATGGGCGCGGAGGGGGAGCGGAGGGGAAGTGGAGGGGGCCGTCGTAAATCGACCCCCGACGCGTCGGCGAATTAATTCGGAAAAGGGCGGGTGTGGCGAGGGGAGGGGGCGGGAATAACAATGGCGGGGACGGCCTCGGTGCTCAGGGCGGGGTTAGGAGGGGGCGGCGATAATGGCGAAGGCGGAGGAGCGGGGAACGGCGGAACCAAGGACGGTGGACGCGGAGAGGGCAACGAGTGTTGTGGGGACGGACAAGACTGTAGAGACGGCGATGGCTATGAGGTAGACATGGCCGACACACTGAGAGGGAAAGCGATAACTTGGAGAATTGAGGGTGGAAAGGGATTCAAGAAGTTGCAGTGACAGTTGAAACAACTGCAAGGGGGTGGATGATCAAATATAGCGTTTGCGCGTACTATACTGGAGTAACATTCATGGACTAGTAAGCTTATTGTCATTGCCGCAAACTAGAGTTTAAAACTTAAAATATTAGACAATAGTCATTCAAATCTTTGTGAATGAAAAATTAGCATTTAAACAACTGAAGGTTTTCGTAATAATGTCACAAAACTACATTATTTCGTTGAGAAACAGCAAAGGTCAGAAAGTTGAAACTTGAATATTCACCTCGTTTAATTTCACTTAATACTTGTTTGGACGTACTACTGCCATAAAAATGTTCATGTGAGAGTTATTGAAAAAATAATTGTTGAATATTTTTAGAAAAAACAACAACTGTAAATTGATGTCCAATTAAATTGCTATCACTTTTGTAGTCTCTCTACATTTTTCGTATATGCGGCAACTGACAGAGGGTGAGGTACATCAAAATGGGGGAAAAAGCACTGCACTATTTCTGTATACATGACATGTCAACAAGATCAAGTAGCCTGTATAAAATACGAAATTACATCTTTTTTCATATTACAAATCAAACATTATACAAAATTTAATGTTTTATTAGAGAAAGATCGTGTCACTGCATAGAATAACTGTTTGATCATAATTTATATTTAATTAAGTACAGATTTCGAAAACATTATAATGCTTCCAAATACGAAAGAATACCTATATAAACATTTTGAAAGGATTTTGTGATCGTATATTGTACATTCAAAAAATAATACTATTACAAGGAAAAGACGGGTACTGTCACTAACACATTTTCAAATGAATGTTGTATTAAAAATAGGAGGAAAATAAATAATTCACTTTCATAACCCAGAGAGTAAAATATCAAAGTATTAGAGCACAACAGCAGAAGATAAATATTTGTTAACAAGAATCTTCTCAGCGTGCAATAATCGACACCCCTACATCAACAATGAAAATGGTATGTGGTATGCCAAGAATGTCACAGAATCCCATGGAACTAAATAATGAGCTTTATTTGAAAAGTCCAATTTAGAAAATTTTGGATTAATTCTTTAATGCGCGGCTAACACTTTCCTTCTTCTTCCTCTTCTTCTAGACTACCCGAGCCTTGACAAATATTTTATCATGTAAACTTACACATTGAAGTTCTGCCACAAGGTCGTGTACCCGAACAAATGTCATAAAGCAGTGTCAAACACGTGGCAAATTTTTATCTCCCTTAATCCTAAATTCTACGATGTAGCCAAGTAAATGATCTTAAGTGATTCACAAATAACGAAAACGCCTGGACCCCATCCAGCGGTGTGCGGTTGTACCGTGCATGAAGCGAGGCTCGAAGCGAGGACCCAGGGCCTGGCGCCGCGCCCGCTCCTGTCGATGTGCGGTGATTCGACGCCGGCGATGCGACAAACGTAATCCATTTACTTTCGAGACAATCGGAACGAAGGACGAGCGGAGTTTGCCAGCAAATTTTTTCCTAAGTGGAGTTGGTAACTCCCCGCTTCCGGTCTCGGCCGGCGGGTGCTGAGCCGTGGACGCCGTCCAAAAGCGCCCGGTTGCCGACCTGCTCTAAGGCATTTCTCGAGTCGCAAAATACGGCGCTCTGTGTGTCGCACTGCGGGCGCGTAGGCGGACGTACAACTTTTTAATTTCTTATTTATTGCGGTTCTTCGCTTGGTTTCCTCTCTTTCCAGAGAATAACACATAGTATTTTTTTCTTTAGTAATGCGCCTTTTGGAATTGCTTGCTTGAAGAAATACCTCACAAATCCGTGAAATATTAAAGGAATAAATTCTACAGTAGCTAAATCAGAGTATTGTTTCGCGATTGCAGCAAAACAATTTTCTCCCTTTAACGACTTCATTTCTTCCCAATTAAAAACGCTTCGGTCTTTAAAATGGTAATGTTCTAATTAAAAACCTCATTAATTTCACAAGAATTAATGAAAACGGCATAATAATTCAAGTTCGTGAAATCGATAACTGAAGCGAGAGAAGTGAGCTCAGCTCGTATTTGACTGTAACACGTAGTTCAGTCATTTGTATTATGCAGGTGACTACGACTTCGCCCGAGTCGAGAGCAGAATCCAAAGCCTCACATCCACCGTCGCATTGATAATTCAAAGACGCTTTTAGGAGTTTCCGAGACGATCGAGGCAGCGTCAACCACTGGCTAGCCAATGGCGAGCATGTTGGGCTTCTCGAGTATTCTACCACCGCGTCGTAAAGGCAGGGTCAAGAGCTCTTGGAACCGTAGCCCTCGTTCGGGCTGATTCCGGGTCGCAGGTCGTGTCGAGGCTCTCCGGCGGAGACTTCTCTACTTCCGATGCTCTCCACGGGGAGCGCTGACGAGTGCGGAATTGGGGAACCTCCTGCTCTTTACGTCCGCTTTCACGCATCTTGCAAAATTCAGGAAGGTGAACAGTAAAAAGTATTCTGAGCTCCGCACCAGGGGCGCATTACAGCTAACTCTTACCGGCAACTGAACTATTTGAAGAAACTGGTGAAAACATAAGTTGCACAAAGTTTAATCTGACATACGTCATTTATATTGAGCAATACAAACAATAGTAAGTAAAATAAAAAGTGCACAGAAGGAAATATTTTATTTTAAAGAAATTTTAAAAGTATTTTCAAATATTTACGTCGGAAATATGTACTCAAAATAACAGTTTTTTTCAAAGTAACAGTTCTTTTTAAAAGATTAAATGATACCCAAAGAATTTTTTGCAATTAAAATACCTCATGTATAGCTGGGCAACTAAAATTATATTATTACTGTTCTCGGCGAGAGAAAACGAAGAGACAACTAAGCATTTCTCAAAAAATATTTCAATTTTTGGCATAAAGGGTCTTATGGAACCTCACATTTTGATATTTTTGTTGTATGCAATAGTCATAATTAATAAAAATATTTTCAACTAATTAAAAAGTAGTGCATTACATTGTCGTCTTGAATTTCAACGAGATGTAAACTACCAGGAACTTAACCTTCAGGAATTATTAGCATCGTGATGCACATATATCAAGTTATTTTGTTGTCAAATAAAGCAATAATTTGTATAACACAGCAGTTTTCTACTCATTATTTAATAATTTAAAAATAAAATGTTTAATTAAATCTTATTTGGGAATATTGGTAGGATGTGACGATTCCTAATTCCAAAACTCAAAGAGCGGGGTGCAAACACCCAAAAAGTTTAGAAATCTCTGGCTCGCACAATTTAATGAGAACATGAACGGTTAAGATTCAGAGTTAAGTAATGTTCCAACAGGTAGAAATGATCGCTAATTTTCTTGCAGTGATTTTACTCAAACATTTGTAACCTGTAAAGCGTAGCTTCAAAGCCTGGAATCCTCCATTTATAATAGTGCCTAATTGTCTTACAATATGCATTTTAGGCCAATGATAACGAGTGAGGGACATTTTTTTGTGAATGGTTACTTGCATTTTTTATTGAATCTCTCCAAATTAATCTTCCAAAAATATTATTTACGTCTCAACAAGAATGTAAAGCAATGAAACTCTGATTGCTATTATCTACAGAAAGCAAAATCATATGTAGAATGCATTCCTTTCTATTCCATTTTAATCGAATAGTTTTAATTAATATTCAACAATTTTAGGTATTTTAGTTGAATTTTTAAACTGTCGACAAATAGTTCAGCAGATTTTACTGCGACAGGCCACTAGTATACTTTATATTAGAAATTTTAGATAGATACGCACTTTTCTGAACAAAATTGAGTGTATTTATGTCTGGTAGGGCGTGGCAAGGAAATTGGCTCATTTTAAATGAATAAGCCTAACTGGGAGAGACCCTGGAATTCTACAAAGTTTCCGCCAACTTCTTCAGCTCATTTGACTCTGTGTTCCTTGACTCCTTTCTGCACCCTCGCAGTTCTCCGTCCTCGGTTTAATTCGTAACCTGGACCTCGGGGCCCACGGAAGCCGTAAGTATCATCAGGTCGTTACACGAAATGAGACGGAAGTAGGCGGAATTCTTCAGTGCCCAACAACAAAGGGAGGCGACATAGGCGGAGTAAGCCAAGGCCTACTTTAAATGCAAACTAGGGAAATTTGCTTATTCAGGTGTGTAATTGATTACACAGTACGTTTGCGTTGCTTCCTCGCCAGTTGAAGATAACTGCCGGCGCAAATGGCGCACGGATCACACTTCACTGCAAATACATTATGTAAGCACCTAACAAGCTACGAATTGTGAATGGAATGATAGAAAAAGTTCTCAAACATTTTTGGTTAGGAACGTCAAAAGGCAGGGCACGAATTCGAAGTGAGCAATTGATTATTAATTAATCAAATTCAACGTCATGAATATAAGAATTTGAAAACAACAAAAAGTTTGATAATCTCTAATCCGAATTATGTACATGGGTATTATAGCTATGAAATAATTATGACAAACAAGAAAGTTTGGAGCAGTTTTTAAGGAAGTTGCATATGGGCGCATCTGAAGTGGATAATGACAGGCTCATTTATTCATAAAACTTTTGATTTTAAATTAATTATTTATTAAAATTATTTTTAGATTTAGTATTTTCGAGAACTTCTTTCTTATCGGCAATGAATAATTTACATGTTAATATATGGAAGAGTCATAAATTGTCAGAGGCAGAGATAGGGTTGATAGAAGTAATGTAAAATAAATATTCCATGTGATGGGAAAGTTTGTAGAATGTTATTAATGAAAGGGAAATTCATTAAGAAGAAAGATTCTATAAGTTTGGTGAAAGGAACTAAGGGTAGAGGGATAATTATGCTATAATTTAGGGATATGGTACAAGATGATGAAATACATTTTACTTAAATGGAAGGATGGTCCAAGTATGAAGAATGTAAGGAAATGTGAAGACACACAAAAAAAGGTTTGTGACAATGTTTGTGATTTTGATGCAATTTATATCATAATTTATTAATCGATTTTTTTTGCAGCATTAGAATACAATGCAACTTCACCTTTTCTACGTACAGGAGAAAGTAAAAAGAAAACAAGAAAAAACAGAAAAAGTCAAAGAGCAAGCAACAAAAGAAACGCCGAGACGAGCAGCGTGCTCCCAGCCAGAGGGTGCGGGTGGTGGGGGGCGACCATCGCGAGGCGACGAGAGCGAAGTCGACGCGAGAAAGAATTCCGCGCGTACCGCTCGGGCGAGAGAAACAAAACGGCAGCGGCGCCCGCCCGCCCGCCCGCTTTCGCCGCCCGGGGGCTGGCGCGGACGGAAGGATAAGGCCTCTTGACGCGACCCCTACTGCCGGGCGCCGCCTATCTCAAGTTTACGCCAAGATGCATCCCGTCACGAAACGCATCGCTACAAAGGGCGCCGCGAAAAAAGGGAAGGGGGAGTGCGGGCTTTCAAAAAGGCGAAGACAGGGTGACCGCCGCGGAAGAAGAAACTTTTCGTGATTCGAAGAGGACACTTGCCACAGCAGTCTTAGCAATTTGACGACAACAGTGCCTAGATGTTTTACATGCAGTAACAGCGAATACAGTATCATATTTTGTCACACCCCAACAGAAATATTTCCAATGACAGAACAATATCGTGGTAATGTTTTGTAGTATCATATCCCAATAATAAAACAAAATACACTTACCATCATATACACCTGTCACTCTAAGGAAGGACAATGGAAGAGACTCACCTGAAAAGAGAGAAGAAAATCAATTATTATTATTATTATTATTATTATTATTATTATTATTATTATTATTATTATTGTAGTAGTTGTTGCTATGGTAAAATTATTCACATTACATCAAACAGGAATTTTGTAAAATAATTATTTCAAAATGCTAGGAGCTATAAAAATATTACTTGAGGCTTACTGACAAAAAGCATTTACACCTATTCTGTGCATGAAAACCTACGGAAGGATCTGCAGCAAAATGATTACATTATTTTCTTCAAAGTTTCACCTTTCCAGCGTAGTTTTTCACAGTAAAGTTTATTAAGAAATAGTTTTACTTGAAGAGAGTTGTATGTAGTATGGCAGGATCTTTAAAAGCTAGAGATTATCCAAATTTCGGTATTAAAATGAGACTTGTAAATGTGATATTGCACTAGCAACAATACGAGAGTGGTTGAGGAGGCAACCACGGAGAGGTGGTTTAAAATCGAGCATTGTCGGTGTGGAGTTGCCGGCTAAGGCTCTTCGTGAGAAAGGGAGTACGGCACGCGGAGTGACGTGTGAGGGGTGCGGAGGCGACGTTCAGTCACAGGCGATGCGCGTGGGAGGAGAAGAACCGATGTGGATCGAATGCAACTCGGGGAAAGGCGGGCGGGAACGATAAAGCAAACCCAGCGCCCTTTTGATCGAGGTTAGATAATATGAACAATTACGGAACGCAAGATATTTTAGAGAACATAAACGCTAACAGCAGGTTTGACTGAATTTAGGAGAAAGCGAGTGAAATGCTAAGAACTTAAACGGAGTTTTAGGGATTTTGATGATGTGAACGTGATGAGAAATCAACCGAGAAACAAGCTGAGTGCTTATCAATACGTAAATAGGCTATCAGAAATCGCTAAATGCGCTCACAGGGTATTAAAGGAGACATCAAACAAAATTGTGGAAGAATAAACGTTTAGAAGTCATCTTCACACGATGGCTCTGTTCATTAAACTTTGGTCATGTGAAAGTTCATTTCATTACAAAATTCATGGATCATTTTCAGTGTAAAGCGGCAATATTAGAGGGAAGAAAATATTCTCGTGTGTTAATTCTAGGCTACATGAACGAACACTACATAATGTTTATTATTGAATAATCATGAAACATTGAATATGACTTACTTATAACTTAAATCTATTAAATCATAGTAAATAGTGTTCGGCATCTGAATACATACGTACTGTAATTCAAACGAAGTGGCCAATTTAAGAGAGGAGGAATTAACGTTAGCTGAATATACATATACATATTATTTTCAATAACTGACTATCTCTCACACGATATTACATAGAAAATATAGAATGCTATGTGAAATATCCATGCCTGTAATCTTGTACGTGGAGTAACGTAAGTTGAGCTCAAAGTGAAATGTTCGCTCAACCTTGGTCTTGAACGTCGAACTCCGAGGACGCAAAGCATCGTTCGCGCAGGACAACTGTTCCCAAGTTGCGACGGCTAATTACTACGTTCCACGAACCAAAACTTGCGCAATAATCTTCTCCTCATTGCTGACTCGATTACTGACCCGACCCGTCCCAAGTTTCAGGCAGGAGGAAGCCGGTGAGTTCAAAACTTGCGCAACGAGCTGTTTATTGCTACAAAAGCCATACTTTAACTATACGTACATAACAGTATACGATCGTTGTTCTATACAGTATATATGGAAAGAACCTGTATGATGTAAAATATAACCGCATCAATCGAAAAATCACATTAATGATCAAAGTAATGAAGGGTACAGTTAAACATATGAACTACATACGATGGATATGCAGATTAGTTTAAAACTTAAATCATCAATGGTTGTTCATCTATTATACTACATTAAATCTGCTAATTAAAATTGATATTTTAATTATCAGTTTATATTTTAATATTTCTTTTCAACTCCAATCCAGTTCAGACCTTGGTCTAAAATTAATTTTATCGAAGTAGTACTGGAGTATTTCGCGAAAACATATTCTTTCATATGAGATATGAACGTTACATTAGATTGACAGCATTGAATTACATTATTTAATATCACAAACAAAAGTAAAGTAACTCTTTCTTATGACCTGAAATATGAGAGATCTATCAGATTCAGAAATATCTGTTAATTTTACAATGCAACTGCTATCGTACGCAGTTAATAGATTTCCACTCCTTGAAATAGAATATCCTAGGTTGAAGTGTAACATTAATTCACACAATATAATTCAATGTTAAGCTCAGGTTTAGTGCAGTTAAAATGTTTACATCTGATATTAGTTACAGTTTTGTACCTCAAAATCGAAAGTCCATATACATGAATCGATTGATGGATGGATGTGTCATGCATAACTGTCAATTTCGAGGATTTTATTTCCAAATTGATAAACAGTATAGGAGGACAGGTTTAGGAGTCGCAATTACGGATTAAGGTAGATATTTTCTAAAAAATTGCGGCAAATGTTTTTTTCATGCTTTGTTTGAATAAGCGAAAGTGCACTTATAATTGTGGCAAGATCCCAATTTTAATTAAAATCCTTAAAATTTCGAAAATTGCAAAAGTTCAAACATGTTTTGAAAATGACCTGCACCTTTAAGAGAGCCCGAGATTTCTTCGAGCAGTTTATCCCTCAAATTTAGAATTTCAAATAATGTCATGTACAATTGTTTTCAAAACGATGATTGACTAGTTTTGACAAATCATGTCACATTCCTAAAAGTATTAAACAGCTTCAATTTTATTCTTTAAACTTCTTGGCATGATAGAACCCAATATATTGAATTACATATCACAAGTGCCATTTCGTAATCATTAGCACATTTCGTATTAATTAAATTATAGAAATCATCGATGAACAAGTGCATAATAATAACTGTGAAGTTAGGATCGCGTAAGTTGTAAACTAGAAATTGGTCTTCCCCTCTAAATTGGACTCTCGACGGTCAATTAACAAATTAAAATATGTACAGTAACATTAAGTAAAATTACATAAAAAAGTCATGTATTCTTCGATTCATTGCTTACATTTTATTGTTTCAGAATTAAAAAAGAACCAAAAACGAGAAGACTCACATCATTTCTGCAAACTGCGTTCACTTCATGATGTAATCCTCAGCAATATATTATTCACTTTGTGAACTATGTCTTTGGCTTCAATAAGGTTACGACCATGAAATTATTCGGCAAACCTATACAGTTATGAAGTACAAAAGCAACCCATAAATTTTGTGGGCTACTCCTTAGGCAGTTTTATCTCGCATCGTAACTCCTAGGCTAAGCCTCTCTATTAATTCATACGCATTACGAGAGAAGACCGCCATGCAGTTTCAGTATTAATAAGACCCACTTATGATCCCAAACCATTAAACTTCGTGGAGGTAATTACTTTAGAAGATCTCTGAGTCGTATTGAGCGACGAGTTTATTAATTGCGATAGAAATAATTATCTTTAAATTTCGTTATCAGACTCAGTTTTTCTTACTTAGTTTCAACAATAGTTGGAACGGTTGACACGTATAATGCTAATGAACCTAATGAAAGCCGAGATTATTCAATTTGAGACAAAAGCACACACCACCTCGGCAAATGAAATATGTTATTTCATTTCGTCTCGCTGACATTTTATAAAATTTCGGATTTTATATCTCGAAAAAAGGTCTTCGTTGTTTCAAATCAGTCGCTATATTACATTTAATTAGAAAGAGCAAAGTAGAACGACAGCATATAACTGACCACAGTTTTGATGAATATCAATTTATTCTACAAAGTTTTAAAAACGCAGAGAGATAACATATATGACACTTAACACTATACTATCGTTCTCAATGTGCGATAGCCTATTCTCTTTACCATTCCTTGCGATGAATGTTATTTCTGAGTAGCTGAAAGCTTATTTATGAAAATATCTCACAACTGTACAGAAGAAAACACCTCGCCGAAATAAAGAACAAGTCAGCATACAAACTCTTATTTTAATCAACTGTTTTAATTTTTTTGCGTTTTAACATTTTCATCACGTTTTCCACGTAATATGTACATTAAACATCGAAAATAAATATAGCATTTTGCCAGGTGTTTGTATATCTACACGAACTTTTCACTTAAATCTCCATCCTGTTGCCGATCCCTATGCGTTCCTCTCCGACCTGAGATCAAAGCTGTGAAGGTCTAGAGATGCCGTGTAATCAAATATCATTAACTTTGGGCATCAAGGGAGACGATCTACTGTCTCCAGAGGGAGAATAAGCAGTGTTCAAAGCAAGAGTGTGCAAAGTCAAAGAATTAGTTCAAAACTCTCAAATTCTTTAGCTCACTTGATATGAAAAAAATATTGTTGTCTGTTAAGCTTTGTACATATTCGAAAATTGAATATGCAAACGAAGGTAATCAGAATAATACAAAATTGTTCACAAAGAATGGAAAAAATATGGGAAAAAGTTATAAGTATGTATTTATTAATATTATATCAAATTATTATCACACATGCAGATTCCCGAGCATCTTACAAATAATCCACTACAATGTTTTGCATCATGTTTCTCTCTTTAAACATAATCGTAATAAATATAATTTTTCAGTGTTAAAATGGCAAAAGCTTGTACATAGAAACAACGTTCGTTTTCAGTAATAAAAAAATTGCAGATTGAAATCCATCTGCTTCTGTTTCTTTGTCTCGCCCTCTTTTCAGATATAGAGACACGCTCATTTTTTGCATTCTACAGCATATTTAATTCAGGAACTTTTAAAATACCACCGGCATATGCAGCAATTTTTAAGAAATTAAGTTTTGCTATCAAATAACCAGAACGACTGGGATTTATAAAAATTGACATGCCCGTGAATTCGCGGAAAATGAAATCCTGTGTGTTTAACAGCATCAGATTTCTTGCGGTACCTGACGTGCGCCACAAAAAGCTACAAACGATTCTGCCGGATGCGCGCGTCATACGCCAACAGTCGCGGAAACGAATTTTCTTGTTGTTCACGTTTTGCTCGCG